CCATTTTGTGCGGTCCGCACAGGGGGTTTGAGAGGGTTATATTAAAACAGGATTTTTAGCTATTTTTCATTTTTCAAAACCCCAAAAACATAAGAGGCGATTTTTCAAATAACCTTTCTTCTCCAAAACATTGGTAAGTGATTTCTATCTCGTTTTCTTCAATCATTAACATCTTTTCACATGATTTCAACTCAAAATCAATGATTTTCATGGGGGAAATTGGGTATTTTGGGTAGAACCTAGGTTTTTCAAAAATTGGGGATTTGGACCTCGAATTGAGGTTCGATTTCAAAACAAATCATATATTTGGGTTTGTGGGGGAATGGGTAATCGGGTTTTGGTTCGAACCTCGGATTTCGACCATGCGATTTTTGACTTTTTGAGTAAAATTTTGTAAAACTCATTTTCATGCATTAGGGTCAATTCATTTAGCATTTATTGATGTAATTAAGTAATTTGTGACTAGATAGGAGCGAATTGGCGGTGGAATCAAGGGGTAAAGCTATAATTGAATCGTGCATTGTGTTAGTGGCATCGAGGTTAGTGTTTGGTCTAACCTTAGCTTGAAGGATTAGGAGTTGTGTCCTATTTGTTAATTGCTTCTTATTGAGTATGACGTATAGGCATGGTGACAAGTATCTATATGTTGGAGTCGAGCATGACCGTGAGTCTTAAATTGATATATGTTATGTTCTTGAATGATTGTACGAATGTTCTTACTGGTGATTCTCAATGTTGAGCAAGGCTTTAGTTTATTTACGTGGCAATTAATTAAGGTTGAGTATTGGTGTTAGCTGAGATGAGTAGGGATTGAGTTGAGATTGGTTATAGCTGATTCTTCCTTGCCGGGACATATATACTTCACTATTGAATTCCCTTGCCGGGATAGTGTAGTTTATTGTTGATTCCTTGCCGGGACTCGTGGTACGATTGAGTTTAAGGTATATAAATATATTGGATCGGGTTGCACACTGCAACAATGATATATATATTGGATTGGGTTGCACGCCGCAACAATGCTATATATATTGGATCGGGTTGAACGCCGCCACAATGTTATACATATAGGATCGGGTTGCATGCCACAACAATGTTATATATATTGGATCGGGTTGCACGCCGGAACATTGTTATATATATGGGATAGGATTGCATGCCGCAACTATGTTAGATATATATTGGATCGGGTTGCGCGCCGCAACAGTTTATTATTGCTTGTTGTAGATTTTAAGCTGTTTCTCTCATATTTCTCTTTATTTCTGTTGGATTTGATATGCTCCCCGAAGCATGTACCCCCTCCCATTTGAATTGTTTATTCCTATTTATTTTCCGCCGTATATTATGTAATTGCATAGGTTTATCTAGAGTCTGGTGCTAGCCTCGTCACTACCTTGCCGGAGTTAGGCCAGGCACTTACCAGCACATGGGGTCGGTTGTGCTGATACTACACTCTGCACTCTGTGCAGATAGCGGAGCAGCACTGCGACAGTAGCACTTGGGGAGTCAGCCTTCAGTCTACAGAGACCCCGAGGTAGTCCTGCAGGCGTCCGCAGGCCCGACGTCTCTTCTATCTATTTATATGTTCTGTTTTCATTTGTATCCGAGATAGATTGTATTTCTTTTCTTCAGACATCTGTATGTAGTATTCATAGACAGTCCGTGAATATTGTGACACCGGTTTCTGGGTAGAGACGTATGCTGATGTTTTTGTACTGATTTTGGCATTATATTGTCTAAGTCTTCCGCATATTTTTGTCTTCCGCTATTATTTAAATAATGATCACCTGCTATTACAAATTGTTAAAAAGGACTAAAATGAAGGAGTTAAAATTTCTAAATTTCATGGCTTTCCTAGCTTCTATGAGTAGGCGCCATTATGACTCTCGAGGGTGGGAAATCCGGATCGTGACATGCATGAACTCACTAACATCCACAATTGATAATTGTGTGATGGAGCACTTATAATTAACTCCCCAAATAATAGCACATTCACATAAAATTAGACGAAGAAAGTATATACTTTTGAATTAATTTTAAACGCAAAATACATACTTCCTCCATCCTAGTATAAGTGATGATGTTAATTTGACTAGAGATATAGTTTACAACAACAACAACAAAATTAGTGTAATCCCATAAATGGGGTCTGAGAAAGGTAGTGTATATGTAGACCTTACCTCTACCTTATAAATGGGGCCTGCACGACTTCTTGAATGAGTTTGCTACTTCTTTGACTTTTATGAGATTAACGACTCTCCAAACATCAGTAGAAAATCAGTAGTTGATCTTCTAGTATTTGTGCAAGCTGACCAACCTGTAGTACAGAAACATGTCAAGTTATCTGCACTTGTACTGTTCATTAATATTCCCATTCTTGGAGCCTATTTGATGTATTTCACTATCCTCACAGCTGCCTCATAATGTGATTGTTTAAGTGCTTGCATGAACTGGCTCAATGTTTGATCTTGTGATGGTCAAGTATATCAGCCTGCCTACTGAGTATTGACCTCTAGTATACTAAATCCTTTAACACTTCATCCCATGTCGCTCTTGTATGTTCATTAAACTCTATTGAAGTGAACTTCTGATTCAAGTCTATTAGTGAAATGCATATTTCATTTGGTTCAATAGAACTCCCTTACTGGATCCCAGGGACCTCTATCCCTAAAAATTATCTCAACTCTCCATGGTATTTCACTTTAAACTGCTAATGCAGAACAATTTTTGTGTCCTAAATAAGTCTCTCACTAGACCCTGTAATTAGTAAATCGTCAATATATATTAAGATAACCACAAAGTCGTCCCTTTTCTCTTGGCAGACATTGAGTAGTAATACAAGCTCTGTACATATCCTGCATCTAGCAGTACTTCTATAAGCTTGATGTTCAATTACATTTGATTCCTGTTTCAACCCATATAAGGCCTTCACCAACTTGCATACATTTGTCTCCCCTGTCTTTTGAATCCTTGTTGTAGTTCCTTACTCGCATAGATCTCATTGCAAGAAAATATTATTGACATCCATTTGGTACATACTCCATCTTTTGGAAGCTACTAAGGCAATGACATATCTCACGGTCACTATTTTTGCAACTGGTAAGAATGTCTCATGATAATCTAGCTCTTCTTTTTGGTTATATCTTTAGGAACCAATCTTGCATTAAATCTTTCAACTTCTCTATTATCTTTAATCTTTATTTTATACACTCATTTTGAACCAATTGTATTCTTTATTTTGGGAATATCTACCATTTCTTGTGTCCTGTTTTCCTCCGAGGCCTCAATCTACAATTTCATTGCTTCAATTTATCTCTTGGTCTTTGAAGTTTCTTTGAAAGTTTGTGGTTCTGTAAGTGCTGAAATATTAGCTATGAAACCATTGTACTTTGCTGAAAGTTTGCGTAAGACAGGTAACCAGATAGTGGGACAAAGTAACTCCATGTGCCTTTTTCATAGTCCTGCAACTACAAAGTCACTTTCGTATTTCTCCTAGATCATTTAAGGCATGAACTCTAGACTCGGTCACAGAAGGACAGTCTCAGGTCTTACCTCTGTAGTCTGTAGCATTTCTATTGGTTCATTTTCATTATTTGCATACTCTCCAGCAGAGGTTGATATATCGATCATGTAACCAACATTGTCGTCTTCATTTGGTACGAATTTCGGATTTAACTACAGTTTCTTCAGTAGCAACAACAGACTTAGCTTCTTGAAGGATTTCAGGATCAACTAGAATACTCTCCTTGTCATGAACCATGGAAGGTTTGGGCGGCGAATCATGCACAAAGGACGTGGCAAAAGGAAATACATATTCTTTAAAGATAACATCCATGTAAAAAACGAATTGGTTAGGTGAAAAGATCCAACAGCCTACAACCTTTTGAGTTTTAGAATAATCTACAAGAAATAAGGGTCTATCTCTGGCAGAAAACATGTGCTCTTTAACCATAGTGGTGGCATAGTATAGGCAACCAAACACTCTCAAGTAACCAACTGAAGGTTGTGTTTTATACAACAGCTCATGGGGTGATTTACTATTCAAAATAGATGTAGGCAACCCATTAATGATGCATAAAAAATTAGTGACACATTCACACCTATATCTTGCTGGTGTAAATGTTTGAAACATTAACACCCTTGCTGTATCCAAGATGTGTTTGTTCTTTTTTTCTACTATCCTATTCTGCTGTGGATTATAAACACAGCTACTCGAATGTGTAATCCCATAAGCATCAAACAAATCATTGCATTGCTTGTTAAATAATTCACCGCTATTATCGGTTCTAATGATATTAATTACAATGCCAAACTTAATTCTTATCATAGCAAAAGACATTTGTAAAATTACTATACATTTTTCAACTTAAGCAAATGCACCCAAGTATATCTAGAATTGGAATCCACAATCGTTAACAATAAATACGTTCTATAATGAGAAGGAAACTTATAAGGGCCGTAGACATCCATATGTAAAAGAAGTAAATAACTGCCACTTCTACTTACACTTCTAGGGGAAACTATTCTATATTGCTTAGCCAAAGGGCAAACAGGACAATCATTGTTCACAGACCAATCAACAGTCTTATTTTGAAAAACAATATGTTTCTCATAGTGCTAATAGAGGCATGGACCAATCTTTATGCCATAAGCTACCATTTTTCATAATCTTCTGAGCTGTTGCAATAGAGACATGCTTCATTAGCATTAGAGTGTGGTAATTCTTGATCACATATAAGCCACCTCGCTCTATCAATCCCCCTTCACCCTGCCACTTTATAGATCTTGAAATACACAAAAATCAGAAAAGAAAAGGGCACGGCAAGAGAGTTTCCTTGCTAGTTCTGAAACAAACAAGAGATTTGNTATACACACACACACACTTAAATAATTGGATATACAATTAAGGAAATATTAATAATTTTAATTATTAATTATTAAAAGTGAGTATCATTAATTATTAGTTAAGTAAAAAAAAAACAAATAGCAAAAAAATTGGAGGACAAGCTTAAGCCCATAAAGGGCAGATGAAAGAAAAAGGCTTAAGGCTTTAAAGCCTTGCCTTTGACGTCAAAACTCAAAAGGGTCCAAAGAATAAGCAATAGAATACTAAAAAAAAAAACAGAACGCTGCTCTGTTTATGCAGCGAACGCAGGAAAGGAAAAAAAATCCTAGGGTTCTTTACAAATCACTAATTCTTAAACTCAGGTATGTGAATTTCTCTATTATCAATTACCCCACAATTGTAATGGGTAAGAATTGAATAGTTAATTCTTTTCTTCCTCTATATCACCAATAAATCTCATGTTTAAGTGTGAAACTTTGAAATTAATTAAAATGCAGTGGTTGTTGTAGAATCAATTGTTTGACGGGTATAAATTGGACTGGACGTATTGGCTCAAGGAGTTTTGAGGTGAGTTGATATAACGCTTTACTAAAGTGGTATAACTCACAAAAGCACGATACAATGTGTTTGATGAATTGCTTAAAAGAATTTATATTTACTTAATTGGAGCGAGTGAGTACCTATTAACTTAGAATTGTTCTAGCAAAAGTTTAGATGATTTATTATGATATATGTGCATAAATTTTCATATTTTTATGTTATTCTTATATGCTATTTTCATGTTGAAAATTTATGAAGAATCAAGAATGTTAGAAATACTTTTAGATGTTTATTTCATTCTTATCCCATGATTTACATTTAAGGATACCAACATGAGCATGTATATGATGTTCCAAAAAAGAAACGATTTAGACTTGAAAAGTCATAAGAAGAAGTTTTAGAAAGAAAAGATTTTTTTTGGGAGTATCCTTTATTCTGAGAAGGGGTCATCGTCCAGGCCGAGGGTCCTGACCAAGACATTGACTTCCTAAAACTACTTGTGCCAAAGTAGGGAGCACACGAGCCGAGGGTCTCATTGCTGAGAATTTTCTTAGCTAAGCTAAGGTATGATACATGAGCGCTGAGAACCATGAAGCGAGTGACACCTCGTTGGTTGGGCCTATTCGATCAGGTTGAGATTGAACCCGTGCCAATCACACGATGACTAAGACAGAAACAGGTCAGGATAGTTGGAACTCCCAAAGTATAAAGTGAAGTATGTTTTTTTATAAGAAAGAAAAAGAAAAGAATTTCTTTTAGAATATTCATAAATTTCTATTATGCAATTATATAGAATTATTCTTATAAGCTTTATGTTTTACATGCATTTAGAACCTTTGCTCGTAATCTATATGTTATTAAAGTCTCACCCACTGTGTTGAGACTCACTAAGTACAATGGATGGTACTGACGTTCTCTTTTGGGAACCTACGTTGGTTTGCGGTACAACGCAGGAACCGGATTTGCAGGCGAGCAGGCTACGAGTTAGGACTTCCTTCTCTTCCAATGCTATTGGTGAGCTTCGCTTTTGTTCGTGGAGTATTCCTTAGAATCATCTTTACTTAGTTATTTCTTTGTTACTTAGAGAACTCGCCAGGAAATCTCATTTCCTGAGCAGTGCGTCAGTTTATCAGTAGAGGCTTCATAGACATAGTCGTTGGGTTAAGCTTCAGATGTTTTTGATAATAACTTAGCAGTATTTCATTGGTCACTATGAATAAAGTTTTGGAGTTAATTTATTTAAATGTTTAAATTAATCAAAAGTATTTGGTTAGAGTATTGCCTTGTTGCATATAAAGTTTGGAGTTATAATAGATTTGATAAGCAGAGATGGTTCGCTCGGTCATGTTTAGTGATCGAGTGATGGTCCCGGCTTGTTCAGAAAGTGGGTCATGACAAACTTGTTATAAGAGCCTCAGGTTTATGGAGTCCTAGAGGTCTATGAAGCCGTGTTAGTAGAGTCATGTTTATGTGTATGAAGCGTGCCATACTTATAAACATGAGGATACCAACATTTAGGAAAAGTCTCATTTTTCTCATACTTTAGATCATGCAGTAGATCCTACCTCTAAGAAATTATCTAATGTATTCGTTTCTCCAAAACTCGCAGAAATGGCTCGTACTCGCAACTCTGACACCGACACTCAGGATGCTACTAAAGAAACTATTGCTACTATTGTGGCTCAAGGCAGAACTAAAAAGGTGTTACAACCCATATTTTTGTACCTGAAAGTACGTCGTGAGTCAATTGATGTAAGCTCAAAAAGGATGAAATCCTTCTACAAGAATAAGAAAGGTTTGTCAAAGTGTTACGCAAGTTAAGGTGAATATGAGACTTGTTAATCATGATTTAAATGAGTTTAAAGCCATTATTTGACTATATATGATGTTTGTATATGAAGTATAAAGTTTGAGAAAAATCGGATTTAAGTTGCGGAAAAACCGACTAAGGATTCGCCTTGTAATGGAGCTTTTTGAGTAATACATTCGTGTGCTATATAAGGTATTTTTTGGACATATTATATACCAAATTGAAGGTCTTGGAATTTAGTTTCCAACGTTCTTAACCGTTCGTTCATACGGCATCCGGATAAAAAGATATAAGTATTTGAAAAAGGGCTAATGAGATGGTGCCAAGTAGCACCTTTTAACTTTTCAACCAAAATGGATATTTATCTTCCTATGTTGTCTCTTTCTTCATAATTCCAGAGAGCTCGACCAAATAAGACCCCTAACCTCACCCTTAAGCTATCCACAAGGTTATCCAACAAGATTATCGCCCGAGGCATGAAATCACGAAGCAATAACACTAGAACGATCCCCACGAAGTAAGTATCGCTATATAGCCTCTTTTTTTTCTTTGTAGTTTTTGTTTTGGAAGGTATTTTGATGTTAATAAAAAAGCCTAATTTCTGGTTTCAAGCTCTTAAACATCAAGGAAGATTGATTAATTTATTTCATAATAGTTAGAACTCACGGGACGGTGATCGGAAGCCGTGAGTTCGAGTTATTTGATTTGTAATGGACTGTTTTGTGGGATGTTTCGTGTAGCTTTTGGGCTGTATATTTTGCTGTTATTTAATGGAGTTTTGGTAAGATAAATTGTGTGTAGAAACATCACCTAATGGCGAAATGATGGATTAGTCATTCTTTGTAATATTTTCGGGGCGTTGGACACTACTATAGTCGTCGTTTTTGGTATGAATTGATTGGGGTGTGTTGGACTGTTGTAATCTAAATATAACATGGATTTCGACTTGCATCCACTGTAGGAGGTAATTATATTGTGTTCCTACAGGCGCTTAAGGTTATCTTGGCATTGTTTAAGTTAAATGGATGAACTAGACATGAACTAGTGTATAAAGTTCCTAATTAAGAATAATTGGAGTTGTGGATCATTTTCTTTGTTATGGATATATGGTATAAGGCTGTAATTATTGATGAATGACTTCATTATCATGTTAATAATACTATTAAGTTAAAGTAAAAAGTCTATAAGGGATAATATGGGGTATACGAATTTCAATTGGAGCTTGTCGCTCGTCGTAAAATAGTTATGACTTGTTGTTGTTTTATGGTGTCTTGTTATTGATAATTATGTATTGCTAGATTTCTCTGGTAATTGTTATTGGCATATGGTATTGGAGGAGGCTCTTGTTTTAGGGGAGATGCTGCCCGAATTTATATAAATGAACTACAAGTTTAAGTTGCAGACTTAGCCTTTATTCAACACTGATTTTGAATCTCTTTATGCAATGGTAGATTGAGTTGAGTTGTTTGAAGAGTAACTTGGAAGGTATTAAGGACTCACCATGGTTAAGGTATGTTAAGGCACTTCCCTCTTTCTTTAGGCATGATCTAAAGTGAAATGAATACTCTATTTCTTAACGGATCTACTCCTAGAAACTAAGGTTGCCCATGTTGTTCTTTCCTTATAAAGTTATTCTAAGCAAGTATGTATGATCCTTGGATCCTATAGAAGCTCATATTGATGGTATGATGTCCATAATGTTGATCGAAAAGGTTTAGAACGTGATTCCATGATTCTAGTATGCATTATATATAGTATCTATTTTACTCTCCCGATCCATGCTATAGTAGGCTGGGTACGACACCTATTGTGCAACCACTGATCATTTAGATTTATCGAGCTCTACGTGGCCGGGTACGATTCTATCGAGCCTTATGATGGCCAGGGTACATTTTTACCGAGTCCTCTTTGAGGCCGGGTACGATATGATGATGATGATGATGATGCCTACAGAGGCGTATGTTTTTAAAAGTATATGTATATATATGTATTATGCATTTCATGTCAGTAGCCCCCAGAAGCATGTAGATGTTACAGGTTGTATCTCTTTTATCTCTCTTTATATTACTGTTCTTGTTTATGCTTTCCTGCCTTACATATTCGGTACTTTATTTATACTGACGTCCCTTTTGCCTGGGGACGCTGCGTTTCATGCTCGTAGGTCCCAATTGATAGGTTGACATTCCTCCTAGTAGGCTATTAGATCAGCGGAGATGTTGGTTCACTCCACTTGCTCCGGAGTTGCCTATTTGGTTAGTATGGTTTGGATATGTATTGATTGATATGGCAGGGCCCTATCCCGACCTTTATGATTTTATGTACTCTTAGAGGCTTGTAGGCAGATGTCAGGTTTATGGATACTTGTATGGCCTTGTTGGCCTATGTGTTGAGTTTATAAATGGTCATGTCGGCCTTATAAGCCCATATGTCACATGTATGAGTTTCTACATCATATTGGGTTGTCCTATGTCTAGTATTCCTTTATGTTTTATTCTGGTTATCTTATGATTACCCTTTTGGCCCATTTACCCATGATAGTATGATAAGAAATGAAAAGCTACGTTGGTACTTGGTTGAGTAAGGTACCGGGTGCCCGTCATAGTCCTCCTATTTGGGTCGTGCCAGAGGTGGTATCGGAGCAGTTCTGTCCTAGGGAGTCTACAAGCCGTGTCTAGTAGAGTCTTGTTTATGGGTGTGTTGTGCACCACACTTATAAGTAGGAGGCTACAGGGCATTTAGGACTGTCACTCTTTCTTCTTACTCTAGATCGTGTTGTAGAGCTCAATTGTAAGAATTCAAACTTCTAAATTCTATTATATTCGTAATACAATGATACCTCATCCAAATAAGTAGTTGGTATGAGATTGACTGTGGTTGTGGAAGAGTTGAGTCAGAGGAACTTTCCTTGATTTTGCATCATGCTTATGATGAGAAAATGTGGGGTCTTCAACAGATCATGTGTGCTCTAAGATGTGTAAGCTTTCTTGATAAGGATCCCTAAGGCAAGAATATCTATCCACTCATATGGTAAAAAGGAATAAGTTAATCGGAAAGTAGACACAAGTTTCAACAAGTAAAACAAGCAAGATGACAAAGGGTACGGGGTACCTAGTTAATGAAGATTATCAGTATTTACAATTCAGGTAGAGAAATGTAAGTATTGGTGTTGCCTTCAATGTTAACGGTGATATATACAATTGACCACACCCATCTTAGCTGTGCCCTATGGGACATAACAAATATAGTTTAAAAGAAGAAGGTGATATCAAGATTCAATTCGGGTTAGAGTAACAAAAAATTATGGATGGATTGTTATCATTAACTAATGTATCCGAAGAATAGTGCAAATATGGTAATAGATCTCCTTATGAGACACCTAGATGGTGAACTTTAGAATAGTACAATCAGATATGAATACTGGAATATTCAGAAATTTCAGAAGATAGGTAGTGAGATCCTAGAAGGGACAAATATTTACCTTAGTATGACTCCATCCCTGAGTAAAAAAAATAGAATGTTAGGCATTCCGTAGAGCCAGTGAGATGAAGCAAGGGGAGCTAAAAGGGAAAGAACATTTTGTTAGAGTTTTCATAATAAAGTGATAGATAAAGATATTATCCAGAGAATAAGAAGATAGTAAATGAAGCATCCTGAGTAAGATGTAATACATGGGTGATAACATTAAATCAAAATATGACACGATGACAGAGTCTATAGTCAAGTGAAGGAAAAATACAAGAGGTGACAGGCCTTGAGGTAATAAAAGAGTATAAGCCATAAATTCATATCCTTATTTCGAGAAATGAGTTGGTGACTTCAACGTGATTACCAGGAGGAAAGGTTCGACCCTAGATTAACAAAAATCAGTATGGGCTAGTGAACAAGATAAACTGAACATGAATTAGGGACTGAAGGATTTTATAATGGTTGATATCATGAGAATTTCAGAGATAACATTCCGACAATAATAGAATGGACAAAAAAATACTAACCTTTAAGGTTCATTCAGGAAGATGCTTCCCTAAAGCAAGCACGTGGAGCAGAGTTAAGCTTAAGGGAGTAAGTGTGCCAATTACACTAAGTGTCACCCTTGTGCTTAATAAATTCAATTATCCCCGGTATAGAGAGGTTACCGCAAGATGAGTAAGATGTTAGTGAAGATGTGGAAAAAAAAATGGCAAGATGAAGAGGTAACTATGGAATAGTAAAGGAGGAATGCGGTAAAAGGGTGAAAGGAGTGAGATAGCATCTATTCAGATCCTATAGATATGATATGACTCCAGAACATTATGCAAGCATGACGCCGGAGAGAAGCGGTAAGGGTTGCACACCCAATGATATTGATAAATAAGTGCAAATGAACACCTGATACATAAGGAGCCAATACGAGAGGCAACTTAAGACAAAGTAAATAACTTAAGAGAGATTACACGGAATATAGATATGGGAATGGACCAATGAGTAGTTTGTAGTTGATTCAAGAAGAGCCAAGTTATGGCTATACAAGAGGTTATAAGTAAATCAGCAGATCATGCAAGATAAACGTTGTGAATCCTAATCTAGTAAATTCAGTCTCGCAGATATGATGTCGTAACCTTGAGAAATATTCAGATAGGAGTTGGGTTACTAAAGGTACCGTATATGTGTTACGGAAATAATGGAGAGTGCCGCTAAGGAGACAATCAAAATTTGAGTTTAGAAGTAACCCTACGAGCACAAGGGCACGAAGGTATGTAACTAAGGATGTTTGTAGGCGAGTAAGAACATCGAAAATTCCTTCGGGTATACAGTATAACAAGATCGTAACTTTACAGGATCCAGAAGGTCTCCTTAAGTACTACAAAGAATGACTATCTGAGGAAATAAGGAAGAAGGCTTCAACTTAAGCATAACGATATAAAGAAGAAATGGTCTTGTAACAACAGTCTCACTACAATATGGTATACACTCCATAAGAAAGTGCCACCTATGGTGACTAATGAACGGGAAGTCAAAAGTGATATTTGAGATCATATGAGTTATAGGAAATTCAAGTATTGGTGGGCAATAAGATAAGCCAAGTATTTATGCAAC